CCTTTAATTTGGAAGGTTTACGAGCGGCGCTGCATTATGTAGATTGTGCTGGGTTGCTGCGTGGAAAGCAAGATTATGAGGGTGGCGTCTGCGTCAATTTTCCTGGAAAATGTATCACAGTTCATACCACAAATGCTAATGACCTTTCTCAAATTCGGGCTGCGTACCTGTTGTTGAAAAAGATTGGTGATCAACTAGATGTAGATTGTTCGCAGAATGCTTTTAACCGATGTCACATACCGCCGCCGAGTCGGCTCGAGTATATTGGAATGATGTGGTCTTTTGTTACCAACTACAGGAAACTTCGATATACCGACTACTTCAACAAGTTATCCAGGAAGAACATGATTGAACATTGGACAGTTAATGAGTCTTCTGAACTACATTTTGTGTCGCCAGAAATAATACGTGACTGGATGGTGGTATGTGCTACGCGAGAATTATCGCATATTTCTAAGTTCCAGGACAATGGGAGACACGTAACAACAATTGCAGCGTACACCGAGTATTTTCCTATAATATTTGACATTATTAAAGGTCTGAAGGGGACATTTCGTGTAATCTTAACCGATGAAGAAATTCATTTCTTTCACACTGTAAGTAAAAAGTTATATTGTTATTAAAATAGTCGGTTATAACTCATTAGATGTAAATTTAATTTTAAAAAAAAAGGCTTACAGCCAGGATACTGTTTTTTGGCTTTTTCGGCAATATTTGCAAACTGAAGAGATTCTATCATGACGGAACATTGCGAAAGTAAACAGAGACTCAGTTTTCTTTACAGATATCCATGTTTCCTCCACAATCGCATCTTCCAATAAGCTACAAAGATTGGCCATTGGAACCTTTTGAAATAAAAGTTCCAAACAATCAAGGTAATTTTATTATAGCTTAGCTATTTTTAAAAATATAAATTTCATGAAGCCATTCTTATTTTAAACTTTTCTTATACTCATAAGACAGAAGAACTGTGAATGAAAATGGTAATTTACTGACATCTACTACGCTGTTTGATTTTAAAAGAAAACAGCAAGCTCAGACTTTCTGCAATGTATTCTGTAAAGTAAATGAATCATTATTTTTGACCTATATTTATAAACATGCTTTTGTGAAGTTTACCGTCTTACTTTAATTTTAGATGTTCTGAGTAGGATCAAATCGCTGTCACAAGTGTGGGAACCACTGCCGTCATAAATAATTTAGCTGCCATATTAATGGAAACTCGGAAGATTTAACTGGATCAATGCTTTGTCTACTGCAGATCTCAAAAGTTAATAAAAATTTTTTCCCTTCGTGGTCGAAAGACCAACATAAACAAACTAAAAAGCAAAAACCTTTAACAACAACGACTGTCAAATTACGCTCTCCAAAGCTATTATGTGATGCATAATTTTTTTTGGAAATGAAGTCACAGTATAAAGTTCTTCAAAGCAGGAGCCACAGTCTCTTGCCCACTAAAGCAAAACTCAAAGAATAAAATATAATACTTGCTAAACACCAATTCTTATCAAACTCTTTCCTCAACTTGTAACTCTCAGAGCCTACATTTATGAGATTCATCCTTAAATACTGCAAAGGTGTTTCATCAGCGAAATGTGGCTTGCAGAAGTGCCGCAGTCACCAGTTAAAGTGTTCCATATTTACTAATAAATGCTGAATGGTATCCAACTAAACTTTCTTTTTTTTTTAAAAAAAATAAGCTTAATATAATAAAAGAACAAACAAAATTTTCAAAAAATTAATATAATAGCACTCAACATTTGCGACACTCTATCTGACGATGAGAAGTTTTGACGGCTTTACCGCTCAACGCCCCAAAACCTGATTTGAACACAATGCTGGGAAATGAGGAATAAACTCTTTAGCAGAGAAAAAAGTTGAGAATTATCAAACTGATTGAAATTGTTCATGCGTTATCAAGCAACAGTATGGCAAAAATTGTTTTATTGCTCATTGTGTGCAAAAACAGGTACTAAAAATTTAGCGTTGAAAGAAATGTTGAACTGAGCTAGAAAGAGAAGGCATAGCAGTACATTCCATCAGCAGAAGCTTGACAGAAGGTATTGGTATGAGCGACGTATGAGAATGCACCTTCGGCACAGATGACGTTGAAGTTCTTCTTGAACTGAGCTTCAGCAGCTTTTTGAATAGCGCG